TATCAATTAATAATCTTCAGTCCCTAAGAGCAGCAGCACTACAGTCCTACCACTATAGAGAGTAGTCACGGAAGGCAGCCCATGGACCTCTCATGTACTGGCGAGAACGCAACCAAATCTCGATTGGTGAACTGCTTATATAAAATGATTCGTCAAGAACGACACAATCCCACACAACGTCACAGCATCATCATAACGTTCAAAGTCGACTTCTCATGTAGAAGGACTTTCCAGGGTTCATGATTCCGCGAGGATCCAACGCTTGCTTCACTTGTTGCATCACTTTAATACCCGTCTAAAAGTATAAAGCACATGACTCCTACTGTGAAGGATCAACCTCTGCTTACCATGCCGAACTCGCGCTCCACATAGCGGGCCTTCCCAAGACCAACTCCGTGCTCGCCGCTTACGCTTCCTAATAACACATCATGGTACTATTACCAGTGCGACGATCGAACTCGAGATCAAAGAAGCTCTATTGCCATAAACGAATTGCGGTTGATTACTGTACTCACCTCCAGCATCGAGAACTATATTCGCAAGCCTGTCACTAAATTCCTCTATCTTATCAACCTCCTCCTCCTTGGTCGGGATCATAGCGTGGAAGTTACCATCAAAGATATGTGCAACAATACACAGCGTGTCCACATTGTGAAAGATGTCCTACAGCAGCACCAATAGCACTGACGGAATCAGCAGCTCCATCAGACGCCTACCTGGTAAATGTTTTCGGTTTCAGTGATGACCTTGGGAAGGTTGACCAGAGGTACGCATGCATCACTAACGAATACGGAAATGCCCTTCTCCCCTCTTCGTGTGTTCTTAGTAGAGTAAAATGCACCACGACGAAGAGTCCTGAAATAGAAGTAGTAATACTCTGCGCATACTGTGGTCCCTGCACCCCTACCATAGAGTCTCGAGAGCATCTTTATCATTAGTAGCTCTAATATCAGTACCCCCACACTTCTTAGCGATTTCCATCACGTCACAGCAGGCTCTGAAAAAATACGAAATCGCACTCGCAAGAAACATAGGTCAAACGGTCGAACAACGAGAACGAGCCGCCTATGTACCTATCGGCCGCCTTATAATCCGAGCAATGGCACTCGAAGCATAGAGAAGGGAGCTCAGTATATTGGCATCCAAAGAAGGCGTTCCCTTGACGAACAGCAGCACCGGTCATCAACTCGCCTCGGGACAAATCAGGGATACTGAAGCAGACCATGGTATCTTATGAAGGAGCTTGAGTAGCCTACTTGTTCTTAGAAATCTCAAGTACAGCTTCCACAGCCTTCTCCACGCTTGGGAAGCAAATCACACCTGACCAGAGGCACTATCGGCCGCAACCATAGTTGACGAACCATTCTCACCTCCCGCAATGACCTGCGGCTGCCTGCTGACTTTAACGCACACCTTAGTGATGACACCAAGGCTCCCTTCTGAGCCAAGATACAACCTAGTGAGATCGAGACCAGTACCTGTCGAAGGACCCGTGCACTGTTGTAAGTGATGGAGAACGGCAAACTCACTGTTCTTCCTCACTAGCCGCCTGGTGTTCTCGATGACCTCACCGCTTGGGGTCACAACAGTGAGACTTAAGACGTTTTCCTTGAACGTTCCATATCGTACACTTGTAGTACCTGGACAACAAAGGCTTACCACACCCAGTAGTCGAACCCATTAAACGTTCCTACCACTAGCGCCCGTGCTTGCTTGGCCACCGATCGAGGCATCACTACCAGGATCGCACTGGAAGCAACAGCCAAACTTGTTCAAATACCTGACCAACCGGAGCTTACTGAGATACCAGAATCCTCGCAATGATCCTTACTTATTGAGCTGGGTCTTCCTCACACCCGCGCCGACCCAGCACGACATAGCCGTCTCGTCGAAGTCGATATTCTTTAGATTCTCTGTACCTGTATGCACCACATGTGGACACTTTCAACACTGCTGAGCTCCTACTCAAGACAACTCCATCCAGTCCTTTTGCGAGTATAGCGCCTCCCTCTAGTCCAGTACCGGCACCACGAGTCGCTACAGGAATGCGATACTCGTAGCACAATGCCAAAGCACCAGAGACAGCTGACGTTGATGACGGGTGAAGCACCTGGGCATTAGTATGGCCACCTACCAACCACTACGATGGGAACGTACTGCACTGGGTCGATGCGGCAAGTGATAGCTCTTATCACGCGCACAAGACTGTAGACTATCCTCATCAACAGACACTTCCAACTCCGGAACTTTGCGTAGTTCATCGAGGAACTGAGGTTCTCTCCTTGACAGGTGAGTAGCTCAAAAACAGGCCCTACCTCTGAGCTCACTTCTCCGTACTTTCCCTTGGGTGGACAGCACACCTCACTAACCTGACTCAACACAGTGGGATGAATCTCAATCTGCAGACGCCCTCAGAAAACTCACTTTCGCTGACGACACAGGAGCGTCTAATGAAGACTCCGTGCTCTCACTTCTCAACAGTTTGATATCAGTCATATTTAACACGAAAAACGATTATAACTGAATCAATCTAATGCACGTTTCTCCCATGCACTACAACTGGTCATTCATCGACTCTGAAAATTTCACGCAGCTTTTTGTGACATCAGCGCACATCTCTGTCCCTCACTCAGAAAAGCTGGAGTTCGAAATACTCAGATACCTTTTTGCACCCAGCACCTCAAGAGGGAGCAATAGACATCAGCAACAGGAAAGCCCGAGAGCAGACCTCTGCGCGAAAAGCCTCTCAAGGTTCGCTTTGACGTTTAGATGTATTTATCCCCCTCCACCTGCATTCCTTCTAAGCTTCTGAGACAGCCCATAGGACGACAGCGTTAATCTTCTTATGCTGATTAATATGCGTAGTTTAGTAGGAGTAATGTCAGGCGTCCGATACTATTCGAGGTGCTTATCGCTTCCTTGTATTATATCACTACTATAATCAACTCAACACTGTTATCTTCCAAATTCAGCAACTATCGTCCTTTCTCCACTTCGGAATTGGAGCAACCACATACTGCAATACGTTAGAGCATCAACAATCCCAAGAATGAGGACTGGAGCCAACTGGTAATTCGACGACACTAATGATCAAACCGAAACACAAAGGCCGCTGCAATCATACCGAATACATACCGCGAGTTAAGCGAAAGTAACATCATAATGATTCGAGGCGTTGTGACTTATACACTATAGACTACTACTGCTACGACCAGACAACAACTACCAGAAAGTCACAGCAAACAAATGATACAGAGCAATGATACGGCAAAAGGAGTAACGCGACTTGATAGCAGCGACAGACATGAATACACCAAAATGGCTTTTCATGACATTAGGAACGCCTTCTGACCTTCTGATATCGCCTTTACCAGCTGGCGCTTCAGTACCTAACAAACGAACCATTCGAACAAATCATCCGGAGAGCTTAAACCAACCTCCTTAGAAGAATAGTCCGGCAACTTCATGAAACTCGCGCAGGTCATGACACTCGGGAGGAAGTCATCCGGATTGGCGCTCTCGTCATCCAAGACCTGTAAAAGAGAGAGTGAACCGAGAGACTTCAATGGTGACCAACGCACTTGTCTAACAACAGTGAGTTGAGGCTTCAGAGCAGCAAAGCCTCCAATCGGCAAAGTTGGCGATCCTGTTAGGAATCGCACCTGAATTACAAGTCATCGCATGATGGTCACTCGCCGACCCTTCCGAAACTTACAAGTTGCTGGCGTTGTTCTGGCGTCAAATCGGTCGCCATCACATCTACCAGATACTGCACAGCAGGCGAGGTTGACGTATACCCATGCTTAGGCTGTATAGAACTGAGTAGATGCTCCTTGGTCCAATATTCTGGCCTGGCCGCTGATGAGCCGTAGGTCTGACCATGAAATAAGCAAATCACAATGCTCTAAAGAAGGAAGAGCAAACGAGGGCACTTCCATGGAGATTCGCGACGCCTATAACACACTCGAGAAACACCCTTTATCTCACCAATTCCGTGAGCTCATCCTCAGACCTCCACAACGAGAGTGCCGCCGGGGACAATATCTCGGCGAAAGCGTCAGCGAAGGCCCGGAGCTGACAGGAAGGCATCTCGGAGCGCCATCAGCCATCACGCGCCTTACTTGCCAGTACACTCCACTGTACGTAACAGCAGTCGCCACTCCCTCCACGAACTTGTCCACATTCTTAGAGCTCACATTACCACGCAACCCCGGCAGGGTGATATTCTCATATCCAGGTACCTACAACGATCGCCTTCCATACAATCACCACTAGGCCGCGAGCCTCACCTTGGTAGCACTGATTTCCAGGCTACGCAGCTCCCCAGGCGACATCCTCGTCAGCGACAGGAGCGTTCGATGCAGGGCAGGGTCGACCAGAGAAAGGTAGTATACCTATACTTGGTGAATCCAGTAGCATCAAAGAGGAAAACGCAACCCTACGCATGGCACTTCCACCTCCCTCGCCTCTTCAGAAGCGAGGATCTCCTTAACGAGCTCCCACATAACCGGATGGATCTAATCACAAGTTTAAAGCTCTGCAGCAGTGTACCACCAACATCGGCTTACGTCCAAGTCCACTAGTCTACTGTCCAGTATGCACCTAGCGACAATATGACCCGCAAGCCGCCACGCCTCCAGGACCGATGGGATACTCTTTGCCTTCGACTCGACTGTCATCCCCTTGCTATTCGACGATCCCTGATACCACTATGAACGACGGAACAACATGAGCGGCGCCATGCTAACCTCCTTGGCATCCTCGCCGCCGTCCTTGAGGGAAGGGGACGGAGTCGGACTAGCAATGCCAATATTGGCCGTCACGTCGCCAACATCCTCCGATATGTCAGACACTAAACAAGATGAAGATTCAGTTGGAAGGGCCTTCTCAACAGCTGACCAGCACCCAAGCACTTACGCTCACTATTGCTCCTCCCTCGGTGAGACGGCGATTGACCATTCCGTTCAGGCGTGGTCTTGGGTGGATTTTCTCGTTGCTCCGCTGCAGATGCCAACACTTTGCCTGAGGAAGGAACGCCACTGACCAAGTACCGTACAGGAGCCGCTCACGATAGGCCTCAGCGTTGCAACCATCTTCCTCCGACACTGGCATGGGGAAGAGCCTCGACTCCGATTCCCGAGAGAAAGAGGGCACCTTCTTCAGCTCCTCGGCCACGCATGCATAAAACTCGTTCGTTGGGCCCGAGCCAGTTCCCACTTCTCCCTAAGAGCAAGCACATCCTCCACAACGAGGCAGTCTGAGGAGCGTGGTCAACTACATGTGTTAGTGACAATATGAAAATTTCTAGGAAACTTAGGGAAATCCTCATTGGTTTCTGCACATTTCTATCCGAATTTACGGGTAAACTTGTGCCATCATTGAGAAAACTCTTAGGTTCAGCTGAGAAAGGCGAACATATATCCAAACACTGCAACGAGGCGCTACCGATCCCGACCTTACCAAAAATTCCACTTCAAGAGCTGCCGACGCCTTTTCCTTGCCCGCACCGAATACGTTCATGACAAGAACAGCCGACTCGAGCAGCTTTTCTCGACGGATGCGAACCTTACCATAAACACTTCAACCTAACGATGATGCCCCATCGTAGACCCACCTTCTGTCGTGGCAGAGCGGTCATCTGCTGTGCCGATGGTGAGGAGTTGGGGGCATCTGTTGCAGCTTGCTCACTGATGCCCTGCAAGGCCCGATGGAGGCCAAAGCATGAGGAGGCCATCACTCGTCCTGACCAACATCAGGCCATTAGCTGAGGGCACCACAAACAACAACAACCTACGTCGTGTCTCGGTATCGAACAGCACCGGTGCTACTGACACCAGCCTAGTGTGACGGACAGAGGCATCATCATCATCATCCTTCTTCCCACCCATCAAGACCTATATAATAGCTACATCTACTGCGCTGATTTATAGCCTCACCTTGAAATCTGCTGGTATGTTAGTGATCAGACTAAGTGGCGAACTCGCTACTGCTAGTTGCCGCTTAGACAGGGCTCCACAGGCGAAGGTGGACCAACGTACAGGGGAATCCTTCGGCCGAAGCTTCGCCAACGACACCAGCAACTACAATAGTCGAGGATCAATCAGCACTCCGGTGGACCCGTTAGAAGGGAATGAAAGCCTCGCATTACCTCAACAAGGCGATCAAGGCCGTCCCAATTCTGCCCCTCCAACTGCCCAAAGTGACCCTCCACAGCCTCCGCAGCAGCCTTCACACGCTCCTCGACGGCCAATGGGCGATCGCATACCACAGCCCTCGGCTCATGGGGGCTCATCACGCCAGGAGAAGGCGCACGATTCGACTTCGTTGCTTCCTCATCTCCCTTCGCAAACGTAAGCTCAAAATCAAGACTGTGCGCAGTACCTACGAGGCGACACTCAGGGCAGTGCCCTCCCAGAGCCGCAGCATCATCCTCACCCCAAATGGTAGAAATCACCGAACTAATGCTAGCCTTAGCCCCATCTGTCGATTTCCCATTAGCCTCATCCATCTCCTCCTCAGCAACACGCTCATCTAGGCAGTGAGTCATGAGGAACTCTCGTCGTAGTCAACACTCCCCCTACCGGTGTCATCAGCAGCTATCACGAATCTCGACGGCTTCTCAGATGGAGGCCTCGCGCTTCGCACTAGCCGCGCTGGCGGTCGAGACGTGACACCCATCGACTCGTCAGAAGGGACCCCAGAGGCTACCGCAGCCCGAGAGGCTGCCAGCCACACCGCTTGGACCTGGCATGGAACACCTCTCGACACGGTAGGAGCCCAGCATGTGATGCTCACCACTGTCACATGGTTGGGAATGGGATGGCCATCGAGATAGAGTACTACTCCAGTTGGCTCCGGCGGCGGCGGCGCCTTAGCAGGAGCCGACTCTGGCTTTGCTGCTCTCCGATCACCTATAGCAGAAATAAAATCCCCTCGTGATTGCCTCTTACCACCTCTGCCTCCCCGAGCGGCGCTCCGAGGAGAGTCATGTTCCTCCCCTCGGCCTCTGAAGACATCCTCATTACTACCTCTTCTCGACCGACCCCGGCCTCTACAAGCCTCCGCCATCATACCTTATATGATTAATCACCATTACCACTCCAACCGCAACTTACGTTTGAATGCCTCCTCATCTGCCTCCCGACTCCCTCTCGCTATCATATCATCGTCCTCGTGCTCCCCCTCAGACTAAGAAGCAAACGGCAGTAGAAGAACCCCTCCTGTGGGGACACTCACCTCCTCCCCTGCCTGATGGCATTCATCCTCCTCATCTAGCATCATATCTTCATCGTCATAGTCCTCCTCATCCATCTCCATATCATCACCATGTAGACCCATCAGGAACCTGGCCAACTCCGATACAGCAACCATCCGGAACACACGTCCCTATTGAAACGCGTATATCAAGTGTGTGAATATTCAAGCTCCACGTACATGACCACAGACTGCCATTAGCAGACACCACAGGAAGAACAGCATTGCGAGCATCGCTACACCCCACCCCAAAGCACTCACGCCTCCTCATCCTCATCCTCATCATCATCCTCGCCAAGCAACAACTCCTCTATGAACTCCCTCGAGCAGCCACCTTCTCCAGGCCCCATACAGCGACGAAAGACCTTCACCCGTTGCAGGATATAACTGTCAACAACTCCCTAACCACAAGCGCACCAAACAACCATATTACCCGCAGACCGCACCAACAGTCGCAAGCGGCTCTACCGTAACCATCAAACTCGGTGGCATCAACGACGCCATGTCATTGCCGCCAAGCCCTAGACAACCACAATGCCTCTACTATGCCGCTACATATCAACCCCTACCCCCTCGTGGAGAGTTCTCCAACCCCTCCCTGCTACGGAACGACAGAGCACGCCTCAGCCTCGTCCCCATGCTATCAGCAGCCATACTTGACGATGATGATGACTGGCAGGAGTCCTTCTAATAAAGGCCATACGTGGATTAATCACGACTATGCACCTACTACCTTCTCGGCACCGTCCCCTTCCTTCTTCCGCCCCTCCAACTTCAGTCTAATCGGCTTTCCAATGAGCTGCAAGCCCAAGTTACCAATACTCCCCCGCTGTTTAGAGCCCATCGTCGAAGGCAGAGCTATACCCCCATCGGGAACTGACAAGGCACTCTTCCTCACAATGCATTCAATAGACTCCTACCAGGATTCAAAGCAAGGCCCAACAGACGATGCCGGTCAATGGCTGACACCAAACACTTTACAATGTGCTCATAGAACTCAGGGTTGGCTGATAGGACCTGAGAAGGCTGTCCGATAGGCCTGACCAAGGGCCTTCGTCACCTTTCCGACCGCATCCGCATCATGACCGCGCGCCACGAAATCACACATCTTCTCCAACATGCCGGATTGAAGTAGCTCATAGGGCGTCGGCAGAGATGGCGATCCCGCAAAAGCCGTGAAGACTTCCAGGTTCATCTCCCCCGATCGCGTAAGCAGCTGTCTACTCCCCACACCACTCGAGCCTTTCTCTCGATTCAGCACCCGCAGTGCTTGACCCGCTTCAGCCTACAGCTTGGAACTTCCAATGATCCTACGCCAGAGCAAAGCCCACCTGCAACAAGGGCAGCCAACCCAGAGTCGTCTCCTGACCAGACGTGCTTTGAGCATCGGCCGAAGCTTCCACTGCTGGACTCAACGAGTCACGCCGTGATGACCGTCTCAAGCTGCCTAGAATACTAGACGACCGTGCAGGAGGGGGAGCGCCTGATACACGAGGACGAAGACACTATAAGAACTTCAGCTAATAGATAGCCCCGGACTACCTCCCTGGCTGCCAACCTCCAGGGTACCACTCTCAGCAGCCGAGACCTCAGCCGGCCCCTTCCACCCCTCTATCTCTCGCAACAATTTAATAATCTAAAACCACCAGACAACATCACATTCATCCAACCTCCCAATTCAATCAATGCTCCGCTCCGCTCATTCTCCCTACGGCACAGAGAGCCCCAAATTCCGGTAATAAAAGCACACACCACGTTAGCAAGCATCGAGACCGGAGTCCCCCCGAGTAACAGAGCTTCTCAAAAAACAGCATGCAGTAGTAACAGGACACGAAAAAAGGTATCAAAGACCCCCACGTTACCCCATGCCGCTGGGCCAGATCCTGGGTCATCAGAACTCCCTTTCCCTTGGGGGTTAGCGTCAATATAGTATGAAGACATGCTAAGAGTAGCGATGGCGAGTACCTGTAACCCAGCGACTGCCCTACAGTTCTCTTCATCAGCCCAAGCCTAGAGTTCACTGGCCCTAGATGAGCCCCTATCTAGTCCTCGAGAGAGCTTACCTCGAGGCGCTGCATTGTTGGTCCATAACGTCCGCCAAATACGAGAAGGCTCTATCGATCAACTCCGGATGAGTAGCCGTCAAGTCCCATCCACGCTGTCTTGCATAGATACTCGCAGACACCAACAGCTGCATCTGGACACACCATCGTCCTTATCAGCCACCCTCCCTATCCCCTACCGAGTTCTGCTGGTCAGCAGATGCCGAACCCACTGCTCCTCTGATGAGCTTCACAAGCAGGTCCCGAGGGACGTTGCGGCCTCTATATTCAGCTGAACTACCCTTAGCTGTGGTAGAACGAGAGGACTCTCCCGATAGTCGCAGAATCTGAGGTATAGACAACAAGTACGATAGAAATACATCAGACTCCACAACGGCATTATGATAACGCTGAGAGCAGGATATGCTACCACCAGAGGCAGCATTCACAGTAGTATTCTAATTCACCATAGCAAAGCCCCCCTTTGCTATGAATGCCATTCAATAAGTCACTCTCGATTCTCATGAGCCCACCTTATAGACGTCAATTTTCTTCTGTCCAGCCTTCGGAGCGTTCAACTTAACCGCAGGCAGCAGAGCCGTCGCCGTCTTCAACGCCTGTCTGCTCATTTCCTCCGCCGCCGCCTCACCTGAATGCCCATCAACGATGGAGGAAACCATCCCCAGATGAGCCTAAGTACCATCAGGAGTCAGTAGCTTCTCCAATAGCTGCTCCATAGACCCCTCCTGCATTGCTACGGCAGCCAACTCGTCCGAGCACGCCACTACCGACGCTATACAGGCCAACAGGTCAGTGACCACTCCACTCGACGTACCTGCCATAATCGCCGAGTTACCGCGCGCCACAAAATTCTGTATCCCTTACGTGCTGAGCTGGGGTGATCGAGTTCCTCCTGCGCTCGCTCCACTATCTTCTTCAGTCGGTCTCCACCCTCGCCCATCAGCTTCTCAGCGCCCCGACTAAGAGCCTTGGAAGACACTGAAAAGACACTTCGAATGCAAGGCAATTTCGTGGCGCGTGACGCTGACCTGTGACTTCGGTCCTTGCAGAGTCATCTAATCTCCCACCGCTCTGGTCAGCAGCAGACATAACCCTAGAGCTGCTCCGAAAACGACCAAGTATCTTCCCCATCGTAGAACTAGACGACGCCGACACTATGCGCGGCGACGATGAAGTTGACGACACGGGAGAAGAGGAGGATGACGACGTGGCATACACCTACAATCAATGAGCGCTGCGCCACGAAATTAACAACCATCCAGAGCACACTCTGTATAGGGAACTGTGAAGCCGCGACTCTCCAATACGGGCAAGCCCTTTATGAATATTACGTAGTCTTATATAGTTACGAAAGATGGTATGTATATTATATCTATTATCTATAGCGTTATATCAACCTGTTTTTATGATCCTATTCGATCGAGTGAACTAAAAGCACCTCTCCCACTGCTTACCCTAGTAAGGTTGCTGAGCATGCCTTTCCAGGTCTCAGCCGCCCTAGCCTGCATACTCGAATCAGCATGGCCAAGGACAGCTACGAGCTGGTTAAGGCAACATGGAGGCTCCACAAGGTATTCCTCCCACTTCTCAGGAGTCACCCGAGCCATACGCACCTACAGAAGGAAAACCTCCCCCTTTAGTCGCTCTATCAAGGCACTACGCATTACCATGTTCTTCACAGCGCTGAGGGCCTGGTCCTGACAGTAGGTCGTGAAGAAATCCATACACTGCAACAAGGCCTCCACTCCTCCAGCGCAAAACAGAGCCGTTGGCTGCTCACTCGACAGCCGATAGAGTATCTACTCCGACAAGCTACTCCGCCCCAGTGAACATGCACAACTCCCCACCCTTATGCACTGCTCTGCCAGATCAATGTTGGTGATATTCCTCAACTTGTCACACAACGTCTCCAGACCCGTCCCAGAGTTCGCCAACAGCCTAGCCGTCGCAGCGGGAAGAATATCAAGTAAACTATAGATACCTACATAGCACCAACGATAGGGCTCGCCTAGAGAATCCCAACAACCCTACATCTAGTTGCCAGGAGCCGTCGTGTGTCAGGGTCATCACCCTCGTCTTGAGGGTCATCCCTTTCAACATGCTTCACCAACAGAGGCACCTAAGGGCAACACAGTCCACCACCACTCCAACGGAAGAAGGCCAATACCGTCGTCTCTATAGGGAAGCCGATCGATATCTCCTCTCCGGACATATTAAGGAGGTCGTTGAGCTCCGTCAACGAGGCTATAACCCGCAAGGAGTCGTCGGACTTCAGATCTGCTACGATCCCTAAACACACCCAACATGCATCCGAGTTCATGATCCATCGTATACACGGCCATTTAAATTTTCCCTCATGAGGATTGCCGGTCATAACAACAATGCGATACATTCAGTGATAGGCTCAAAGGCTCCTCCCACTACTTTGCATGGCTCCACCGCTGGAGGCCGCTGACATAAGGAATGCCAAACCCTCAGGGAACGCAGATGACGATGACGACGATGACGCCACTCCCATAGCAGACATACCATCACCGCCTACCACACAGACAACCTCACAGGAGTAGCCCGGGCGTTAACACACCACTACCTTCTCCTTCAGCACCATCCCCACGCCCACTAGCATCCTTATCGACATCATCGCTGCTACTCCCGATGCCCCTCAAAAAGGTCCCTAGTGCACCTAATCAACACCACAGTTGCTCCCACTTCCTTATAGACTCGTCCTCACCCATATCGATACGAGAAGAACCTCTTCCAGGTCTGGCATCGGGCGTTTCTGATGCGCCCATATCAGTAGGAGTCTCCGGGAGATGCAAAGACGACTCCTCCGCTGCTGTATCTCTACTCGCTTCACTTTCTCTCTTCATAGTCTTCACTGGTCTGTTCTCTATACTCTCAGAAATGTGTTCGCTCTTTCGCTTCTTGGACGCTGATCGGCAAAAACGGAATATTAATAGGAAATACCAAGCAATCGAATACACGCTACTACTAGACACTACAATGTACACAGTGTACGCCTATACAAACAAAGATAGTAGTTACCTCTCTTCCTCTTCGAAACACTCCCTCCACTGACTGGAAGAAGAGCTGGCTTTTTACCCTGCTCGAGACCCTTCTGAATACGCTTCCTCGGCGAGGCGGCAGAAACAGAGGACTGAGAAATAGTAATCCTCAGTGTCCTCAGTTCTTCAAGAAGACTGAGTATAGCTCTACCTGTGAGCCTCCTAGTAAGTGCAACGACTTCTTCCCCGCGGTAGTAGAAGTGCTACTACGACGAGAAAGACGGCTCTGGGCAGCCGCTGTAGCTGTAGTGTTGTTGTTGTTGGCTTGAGTAGAACTTGTAGTAGATGTTAAGGTTGTTGATGTGAGTGCTTGCTTACGCTGTTTGGTCTTAGTACACCGAGAGGAGCTGTTGTTGTTGTTGGCAGACGACCTTGGAGACATCTACTCAACTGAAACCAGCAGCCTTCCTCACTGTCCTACTATAAGTGACATGGGATATCACACTCCCCTTTATAAACCCGGCAATCATATCATCACCTAGGCCATACGTCATGGGAATAGCAACTCGCATGACTCAAGTGATTAACTACTGTGATCGAGGCTCCCTTCTGACACAGAACATTCATCACATTACTGTGAGGAGAACTCTCGTTCTCCTCTCTTTCGATCCATATCAAGACATCCCACACGGTATCAGGTACTATTTTATAATACTAATTTTATCATCACTACTCCTGCCCTCCAGTATTCCCGTTATAAAATTCAGCATATTCCGTCTATTCGTGATGTAAAAACTCGACTTATTTCACTGATCAGTTCAAGTTCACGAGACACAAGTCTGCCCAAAATAAAATTACGCATTTGGTGATTATGAGCGCTGGGAATCCACAAGAATGCAAGATGGTTCCATCTTGGTACAAATTTCTGCCCGGTCGCTCGAGGAAACTACATCGTTCCTGTGAGACGGTGTCTCATCTTGACCACAAGTCGATGGCCGCGGTGTACACTTTAAAAGGGGGCTTATCGGAGAGGCCTGGGTGTTGAGGCTAATTCCGTAAGGTATGCGACCATCAATGCAGTCCATGTATTTTGAAGTGGCCTCGACTACGGATGGCGACTCTGGCAGATCTCTATTGTTGATAGTACAACAAACGCATAGCCACATACTAGAGTGATGCTCCCTAGAGCAGTGTACCGACTCAGAGCTCACTATGTGACCCCTGATCTTGGCCATGCATTCATTGACAGTCTACCAGTCGTTCTGGAAAGCCTTGTCTCACAGTTGGTCTTGTGTGGAGCATCTCACCGGGAGTATCTCCAGCGCGACATAGTAATTGAGCTGGTTTGGATGTGCGTAGTTGACTGCCCTCTAGGCGGACTGGGCCGATAACTCCATTACTTCCTCACAGTCTGTGAGGAAGTAATGGAGTCACAGAGCTCTGCTTTGTAACGGCCTCGAATCCTCAGACTACTGCTAAACATTGTGGCCTTGTCCGAGACGACTACTAATTCCTACAATTACTGCGCTAACCCGCTTACCATAACTATCCGAAATGCCACCCACCATAGAGACCGGAGTCACCTATCGGTATGGTCGGGTTCAGTACCTACGACCCATTCTGCTGCGTACATCCCTGAGTAGCTCTTCTCGGACGACTGTGTTAGTGAGAGTGTTATATAAAGAATTAACATTGCCGCTGCTCATAGAGCAGCATGCGTGCTTGGTGGGTCCTCGAGGGTATTCTGCCTGGGCCTGCATTCGTCTCACCGCAAGTTGCGACTCGCGACTTCCTGGCTTGGCCTCAACGCTGTTGCATTAACGGCCAGGGACACGAAAGAAGGGAGCGTACAGCCCCTTGAGGAGCTTCCACAATAGTGAGGATCATCGTGCTGGAGTTGGCAGAGCTAATCGTGAAGGCGCTAGTGTCTCCACATAAGCAAACGGTCCACAGGCCTAGGCAATCGCTCTCTCTGGGGGCTTAGCCGCGTGCTGAGCTTCAACCCAAGATTCGGGAGGCATCCATGGCACACTCTCTGATGTTGGTGACAGTCACCACGAGGTCGGTTCTAGTGTTGGGATGCTCAGACACATGTAATGCAAGACTGCCAAATTTGATCATCACTGATCTCACCCTACTGGGCCTGTACACGTGCAAACCCCCAACGACAACGGGTCTATCCAGTAGCCAGATCGATCGCACATCTGTAGTTATCCCCTCTTATTTGAAGGTGACCCGATGGATCTTCTACTGCTGAGCAACAACCGAGTAAGCTCGTTTGCTTCTGCTGAGTCTTCCCTCTCGCAGTATTCGGTTTCGATCACTAAGGTCTCACTCAGCTTGGCCGGAGAGAGGAGGATAACTCCAGTAATTCACCAACTCCTCTTGAGCATAGTTCGTGGAGTTGTTCGTTACTCATGCTATGGCGACTGATGGAAATTCCGCATTATGTGCCCTAATAGTGGACCGATCAAACGAGAGGAGCACAGTTTCTTCGGTTCTCCACCTCACCCTGGGAGCAACTTACTTGAACACAACGACAACGAGATGATGCACAGAAATAATACCTTGCCGCTGCATATGGCACTCATCTACTTGTCAAAATATTATTCGTTAATAGTTGAATGTTATCCGCTATGGGAACTTTACAACATCATGATGCGGCCTTTATCTCGTCGATTCTCCGTTCCAACTGAAGACCGCCTCTTCTTCTCGCCAGGCTTCTTCTCCACCGTCTTTTTCACAGGCGTCTTCGAGCCCTTCTTCTCCAAATGGGGAGTCTACCACTGAAAAATCTCCTCCCAAGTATCAGCCTAGACTCACCTTAGAGCCCTGTTTTGAATGCTTCGCTGCAGCACGCTTCTTCGAGGGACTCTCTTTTGGTGCTGGTGCTTGATGATGCTCATTTTTGATACACTTCTCTATGATGACCTGACCACCGTCACCACCAAGATCTAACAATCCAGCCATCAGCGGAAGCACCTTGGCGTCGGCCGGCAAATCATCCCAACCGTCCATATCATCGCCGCTCTCGATAATCTGCGAGCGAGGCACACTACTAGCGTGATGGAGACCCGTTGTTACCTGTGTCCCCTTGCGAGCCCTCGTGAATTGGTCGAACATGCAGTCATAATGGAACCAATTGATGGCCACAGCATCCGGGTCGAAGGGCGAGGGGAACCTGTCATCATCAACCACCGTCGTCTCAGGTGAATACCACAATCTCCACTATTCGCTACTTCCTCCCGATCCTCAATGTGCCTTTAGGTATCTTCTTCCCATCAGGCTCATCAGCATGTAAGCACTTGGTATTTTTGCAGGCACTCCTTCCAGACGGAGCAAACTACCGATACCATTCCTTTGATGCAGGAGCACCCACGTCTATGAGGTGCCACTCCTTCTCCCACTATTACCCCAATCGTCCATTTCTTATCGTAAAGTTCACTTTCGGCCGCGGGCATCGACATAGGCGTATTAGAGGCAATGAGAAATACCCTACAGTCATTGACCTGACTAACCCAACAGAGGCGGCCTTAAGATATTCTACTACTATGATGATGATCACTAGCAGCAGCCAACAATGTAACTCAGATGTTCCCTCTGTAGTAGATACCAAGACTCTCCTCCTCCTCCCTCTCAGCGGCAGCAGCAGCAGAAGTAGTGATAGCGAGGGGTTATTATTGTATTCTATTGTCATCGAATTTGGTACAAAGAGAAATGCAGGCTAATGGTGTTAAGAAAAGCAAACAACACGGCAATGTTACAGGCCTATGATCACATAGAGAGGCCCTATAGGGCCACCCACGTCCCCTCGCTGACCACGGGAGGTGAATGACCTGGTTCTCGAGACCGATCGCCATCACCCTCCTCCCCACTCCCTGAGCGAGGAGGAGAACCATCACTTCATAACCCGACGACCACAGCGACCTACCTTCCTCGTCATCATCATCGTCATCCTCGCCGGCTCCGCTCTCATCGTCATCATCATCCATCACTATCATGGGCGCAGGAGCGAAGTCAGGTGCCGATTCTTCAAGCTCCTCCTCAGCGGTCAATAACGCCGATGCAACTCGCTTCAACGACACACTGGTAGGCTCACCTAACATCCGTATCTCAGATACCTCTCCCTACAATAACTCGTCTTACTACTAGTAGACGGCTTAGGTAGGCCGCTATCTACGGCAAGATCATCATAGAGGTCGGGCTCCGCTGCATGAGCCGTCGGAGTGGACCGTAAGGGGACAGCAGAGGAGGTGTTCTCTGTTGGGGACGTCGCTTTAGGGCTGCTGCCTCCTCCTGGGGTGCTCCCGCCGCTACTAGCTCCTGTTGATTTCCGATTGGGAGGAGCATGCTCCGAAACGATGGTCTCAGCCGGGGTGGACGCCAACTCTTTACAGGTGATCTTATTACTATGAAGTAGGCGGAACGCTGGTAACGACTTCGACTCGAGCTCCCGCAGTTTCCGCACCAAAGCGCCAATCTAAGACGACAAAATAAGTACAGCGCCTTGTCATAGTGGAAGACCTTCCTACCGCATGCCGGTAGGATACCGGGTCGCTGCTTGAGGCATGCATCTCGTGCTCTAGGGCATAGCTCCACAAGTGGCACTATAAGACACCATAACGGGAGAAGACCCCTCCAACCATCACTCACCTGCATGGCCGACCGTTTGCCGGGGTGTATGAGGCCTTTCGACGGATCCACACATTCTTTCAACTACCAAGTAAAGGTAAGCTCATGCACGACGAAGAGGCTGCTATTCCTACCAATATTCCCCTCAGGCCTTGGATCGGCTTCACACGATTGTCCGAGGTAGGGTCCTCCAAGAGGCGGTCGTCCCATCCGATCATCTCCTGTAGCCACTCGCTAGTACAATGCTTCGACGCCAACTGAAATGCAATCGCTATCAGCAACCTCAACAGCCGTTACTGCCCTACCTGATCCACAGAGAGCCGACCCCTTAGAAGGAGCCCAGTGATGCCAATGGGACGGGTGAGAAAAGGAGGTGCTTGCTCTGCATCATCCGCTTTCTTTAGATGACGGTGTTTCTCTCTAGACTGAGTCTCCTTAATAATTGGAACTAGCCTCTTCATCGCCTCAAGGTATCTGATAGCAGCATCCTCCACAGCGCTACAATCAAGTCAAGGCTCGCCGACGTACTTCCGCCAACCAGTCTCGCCGTTCTTTCCTCCCGTCGTAACGAACAGGGTATTCTCCAACTCAATAGCCCACTTGCGACACCTTCCTTCCTTAGACCTGACCATGCTGTGCCTCCCCAAGCAGCATCATTTAATCACAACTCACTCCTCATCAGCGGCGGCGGCAACATCCCCTGCCTCAAACAGTTTCCGGAAGCCCCCAGCGGCCTTCTCCCTATACAGCTTGCGCGGGTTTACATTACTAGCAGCACCATCGCCACCAGGACTAACAACAGATCTCCCCACGTGAGAGGACCATTTCTGAGGGACTCACCTAAAGAGACCCCCTGGGGACTTGGGCTCATCCACATTGCCAGAGGGGCTGCCGGTAGACTGAAAGCACACACACTCTCTATTGCCGAGTATTATTTCCAAATCTTACGCTTCGTCGCTTCGAACTAGAGCCGAGCAGTGGACCTCGTCGTCGTTTGGGCCTGCATAATGGTATACTCAACTACGGCATAGGGAGAGACTCCTTCCCTACTTAGATGTTGCCGCTTTGTCCGTGGTAGTCGAGCGTTTGGCTGCTCGTGACTTCCGTCCAACAGTGACGATATCTGAACCGCGACAGTCACCACTCAGTCACCATATGATCGGCTACCCTCCTCATAGTCGCTGGCCTCCTCCTCCTCCTCCTCCCCACTCGGCTCACTCTCTACAGCCTCATCATCATCATGATACCCGCTAGATATCGATGGAGTCGGAGCCTCGCTCGGGGACGGCGACTAGGGAGACAGCCATAAGCTCTCGAAAGGCACTACTGCTTACCACTTCCTCCACCCCACGAACTGCCTCTTCTGCGGCCTGTACGATCTCTTGTGATGATGACGACGACGAGGAGGAGGAGGAGCTCGGTCCCCCCCCAACAGTTACCTGCTGTCTCTCATACACCAGGATGGAAGCCTGACGTTCTCACCTTGTCCTCTCCTGGAATGAGGGTCGAAGAGGCTACCGGACTTGGCTTTGCTCTAATTCTGATGATGCCGGACGCTGCGTCTCTCTGAAAATAAATTAACAGTGGGAGAGTTGCATAAAATATCGGGCTTTGCAGTAATAAGAGGCCTCGTACCCGTACACTATCAGCCTTCGAGTCCCCAACAGCCTTGTTATGCTCCATCTGCAGCACATGCTCTACGATCCTTTCCTAACAATAATTCACTTTTGGAATATATGTTTGCTCTCCTCGGCTGAGCTCAAGAATTTCCTCATCGAATATAGGAGCTAATATGCGAATTCGGGTAGAAGTGTACAGAAACCAACGAGAGTTCACTAAATTTCCCCAGAATTGTCACCAACACGTGTAGTTGGCCAGTGCACATTTCCCATACTGATATCCATGCATAGCGACTAAGTGCTGTCGCCTATCCCCACTGTGTCCTTCCTATGGGCTTTATCTCAGCTTCAGTCGAGCTTCTCTGCTGTTTCTCCTTCAGTTCCCTTTGCTTCTCCTCTACCTCCCTCTTGCGTGCCTCCTCATCCTCCTCTGCCGCTGCGGCATCACTCTTTCTCTCCTCTTCGACAAGCATGTGGTCATGCTCAGCCTACCGAGAGGAACTCCCTTGCAGTCCTTATAACAAAAAAACCACCTACCTCCTCGTGCACTATCCGGCTCTGCTGTGCCTCAGCTGCATCATGTACCTACACAATACGAGGTGCGGGGCATGCCGGCATGCGAGCCTCCTACCCATTGATCGTAGGGATTGGTATCTACCAGTCCCTGGCAGGCAGCTAACCTATAGGCCTCAGCGGCATCCATGTGCCCCCGACGCCGTCTACTATGCCGTCTGGCGCTCCCTTCGTCATCGCTTCCTCCAGGCGTGGATGGTGGTGGAGGACTACCGCTGCTTGCAGACTCTGTATTCTCTGCAACAATAACACCTGTGGGAATTCACTACCAATTCAAACAGAGCATGAGCACACCTACTTTTCTTTACTGGTGTCTTTGGTTCTACTTCGGCTACCGGCTCCATCGACGGACTCTCAGTCTTCCTCCGCTTGGCAGTAGACGAGGCAGCATTCTTAGGTGGCCGTCCCCTCTTCTTCCTCGGTGGGGTCTCCACCGGAGTATTCTTCTCCGCCTCAGGGCCTTCTACTGCGGCCACGACCATGTTGCTGACTGGAGTAGACGATTGTGATGCAACAGCTGAAAAACGACCGGGGATGTGGAGCAGACATTGTGAGCAGCATTCGTACTAGATTTCCTCTTCTTCGCCTCGCTTCGTTGTTGTTGTACCTCTTGCCGTAGTTTCTTATTCAACTCCTTATGCTGGGCCTGCAGCTGCATCCTCTGCTCAGCCTCAATCACTGAATTACGCTTCCGCCGTCCACTGGCTGGAGTCTAAAAATGGAGACGATCAGGGCACAGGTTCGATCCCCGGTGAAGGCATTATTGAATATCCAAGCCTGCGGCCTCACCCCAGTATCGCCGTCAAGCTGTGCGGCCTGCTTCCCTAATTCCTCCGCTTTCTTGAAGGAGTCGAAGGTAATAGACGGATGGTGGTTGACCATACTAGCTCCGCTCAAGGGTGTGGTCGGAATGGAAGACTTACCTAAAACGCTCCGTGCCCCCAGCAGACCTCGTGCCAAGGGCTACTACTTGATTTCGGCTTCGGCTCTGGTTCCACCTCCTCCCGAGTATCCAACCACTGACGATAAACTCTCGGGTCCACCTACAACAACGTGCGTGAAAAAACACCTCAAACGGACTAAATCACGCATTTTTTCGGCTTACCGCTTTGATATCCTTCTTCTTCCGAAACCAGTCGTCGAGAATAATGTACGAGTCACGGCGGCTCTTAGTAAAACCTGAGCATCATCAACGACAATGGAAGGCACCATCTACATCCACCTCCTTTCAACTCACCTATCCATACCGCGTCATCTGTGTACTGCAAGTCGGGATTCTTGCTCCTAACCTCTTCGAAAACACCGTCCTTTTCAAAGTGCAACAACAAGAGATAGGCGTTTCGGCCTTTATTCTGGGTGCGCACGACACTGGCAACGTCCCTAAAAGCAGTCACACGTCAATCTATCGGACGCTACGATACTGATTACCATATAGAGTCGGAATCTTCTGAGACCTTCAATAGCCCATTCATGCGGCACGCGATACGGTCACCTTGTCGAGCCTTCACCTTCTCGATTTCGGCTGAAAAGGAACCTGTGCTCTTCCCAACAGAGACGGAGCTCGTAATGTAGATAAACCCGACACGGTGACGTAAGAGTCATCGTCGGTGATATTTTCCAGGCGCGTGAAAAGACTACGGCGTAGGGGAGACTTCTTCCTACCACTCCAATAGCTGAAGGCAAACTCGATCATATCCTTATCCCAGTCGGGATCGTATCGGCGGAGGATCTCAGCGAGGTCGGGGGCCCACTCGAGCGCCAGAACGCCGAGTTCGGGATCGAGCGGTGGCAAGGGCTCCTCATTGATGAGGGTGGATGCAGATACCTGGGCGGAGATGAATGAGAGAATATTTCGCGAGCACAAGGAAACAGTATGCCGGTATCGAACCCGAGTCGGCAGATGGATGGACTGAGCGCGCCACGAAGAGGCAAAATAGGCGACGAGACTGTGGCTCATGAGCAATCCACGCGAGCGACGAGAACAGAGTTACATCATTGGAGATAACTCATTCCACGACAGAACCACAACGATTGCCAACAGGAAGGGGCAGAGGATCGTAGCTGAGACTTTGAAGACGTCCGGAGGCTCACAGGAAGCAGTAAAGAAGCACGACCAGGCGGTAGGGGTTACCTGTGGTTGGGTAGGTAGTTTCCCAACAGGCGACATGAAGACTTCCGGTCAATTTATCGAGAGAAGAGGTAAGAAGGAAGCGCCTGAAACGATCTGCCAATAGTGTTCGTACGAGACCAACATTCACAATCACCCGCACGCAATTTCTGTCGATTTTACGCCATATGGTGGAAAAACGTATTTTCGAGCGGATTTTTTGCCTATAGGGTAAACCGATAGTGGTACACTCATTTTAAACAGGTTTCGAGACGAATGATACCGTTGAAGCACACGAACTACGGCTTGATGAGCGCCCATGCAGTGACCGACTCGAAAAGGATCGCCTTACTTGCTCTCTTGCAGTTCCTAAATGGCGGAGCGGTGCGGCAGACCGAATCACCATTTTCAATCATTGTATGAAAATGTCATAATGTTCCGCGCTTCGCTCCGCCCTTGCGCGCAGACTGGGCGTTATCGGTGGGTGATTCGAAGCTTCAAATACTGGCAATACCATCGTCCTTCTCTGCCGGGTCTATCTCCTCCCTCGCCGCCTGGAAGCTCGAACTTGATATTCCCAGCGGATCTGCTTAGGCCACTGCTCCGACTAGTGGTACACTCTCGACGACGACGACGACCACAGAGAGCCTTAGAAAAGCATAGCAAACATGTCAAGAAGCACGATAGCGAGCTATGATCACTCGGAGTGAAATGAGTGCGAGCCTATTGAGGTCGGGAGGCAACTATGATCCCCATCTCCCTAGTGAACTATCAAACACAACATCGTTGACAACGATTCGTTGTTAACATCCTTAGTCCACCGGAAGAAGTCCCTCCCCGTCCAACGTTTTCAGTATCGAAGCGTACGACTGAGTTGCCGACCAAGTCACAGCGATGAGGTACTGTGCACCATTGATGCTGATCGTCGGCCCCACAGTAGCTGCTTCGTCCCACACCCCTCGAACACAACAATGATCGTCAATGAGGCAGAATTGGAAACAGTGAACGACGCTATCTGGACAAATGATGCTGGAAAAGACCATGGAATAAATGGATGTCAATTCGCTTCTTGTCGGAGCAAGCAAATTTATCGACGAGCACGATGAACCTAAAATGAAGTAAACATAGCAACACTGCCCAGAAAGGACTGCCGTCTATGGTTAACTGTCCGTATCGTTGAGACTCAACAGTAGTAGTATAGCGCCAAGTGCTCTGCTGAAACCCTACGATATCCCTCGATAGTTCGAACGAGACACCAACATCAGTGATAGTTGGCAAACCAAATCTGCTATGCTCTTCGCGTATGATACGTGGCGTATCGTGTACCTCTGGTCCCACATTCTGACATCGGTTCAATCCCAGCCTATCAGAAGGACGACCGAATACATAGCTGTTGAACGAACCTGCTGCGATGTGAATTCATTTCTACTGGGTATACCCGTTATGGCCCATAACTTATGGGTAGTTTGCTATAAGGATGATCGAAGGGGCCAGTTCCTTCGTATGCGAGCCGTAGAAGCGTGAAAGCAGCAGTGCTGCTGCATTAACACCTCCGAGGCTTGATGAGCACAGAGTGTCTCTTGAGGCGGAAAGCGATTACTGGTTATTCAATGAGAGCTCATGAACATGGTGTATTCTTCCGCAAGCTAGTCTCACCGAGGTGGAAAAAGATGCCCAGGAAGCAGCCATATGGCAAGACTAAAGCCTCAGGTCTCCAACTTGGAGCCTTTTGCACCTCCGATCGCGTCAGATACGCGCCTAGGTGGCAACGAGAACAAAGACGTCTGGACCGGTTCTGTGAGAAAGCTGACAGCTCTTGTCGGACTCTCTAGTCGTCATCATCACTCACATCCGGGGTGAACAGTGACGCTTGCGATGAGATTACAGAAAGAAGATACGCTTGGGTGATTCAAGGTGTCGCAGGGATGCTACACTCGCCCCTGCCAATTGTATAGAGACTACCAGACTACTGTCAGCCGCAACTGAAATGGAAAACAACAACAATAAAGAGAAGATGCACATTCCTCAGAAGAGTCCTGTCCATCATCGCCAAAGCTAAGCTCCAGCACTGGATAGCTGTGGGTCATCGCGAGGAAAATCGACCTTCAGAGCCATAAGGAGGCACTCGTACCTGTCAGAACCACTAGTCTTGAAAAAATGGACGGGAATTTGCTAAGGTCGACCACATCGGTAAACATTTCTGTGGTGAATTACACAATCCACAGCAGGAAAGGAGACAATAAGGAAGACGACCAACGGAGGGGAGGAGAAGGAAGCGATGAAAGGCCCGAGTCTACGTACAGGGCCGGCTAGAGCATTGGGCTACTAAGGCATTGAACCTGTTATGATTCTATCTGACCGAATTTGAAATATGAAGGCTATCTACCGATGAGAAGTAAACCTAGACAACGAGCAGTAGCGTACCCCATCGACTAGTCCAGGGCCTACAGCGTCAAAAGCCCGTTTGAGAATTGCGTAGACGGTGAGGGAATGACACTGGTGAGAGAGAAAAGAGGGGGGGGGTTTATGTTCGGGGACACGCAGGAGCAGTGTGTCGAGCCCATCGAGGGGCCATCCAAGGACGCCATTGCAGGTAGACATGGTACTGGTCAAGGAATGGAGGTCCATCAGCGGGAGATGAATACTAGGAGCTACGAGGGAAGGTCGGCCAACTAAGCCTATTGTCACTGACAACAGCTCGCTTGAGACAACTTGTCACAGAGACATAAGAAGACTTCATAGAGAGATATTATTGGGGTCGGGCCTGACAATGTCATAAAGGAAAGGGAAGCAACGAAGTGAGTAGGAGACATGTACCGCATAAATAGCGGGGACTACTAGTCCCGGCTTAGTCGAGGAACTGTGTCGAGAACAGCATACCACTCGAACTGCTGTCCAACTCTTAACACCAAACCAAGGCAGGATTGTAATACTTATCGTAATTCGTTCGAGAGGATCGACTGATGACAGTCTAGAGGTGTGCTATGCATACCACAGACCATCACAGTAACAGATACCGGGCAAATATGGTGATAGAAGCGGCGATTTTAGTGACATTCACAACCCGCGACTCTAACAGGAGTAGCCGGGGAAGTACGATAGCAGGAGAAGAGATAGTAAGACAGGCCGGTGAACCCTGGAATTATTAGAGCCGAGTGGGGATTGACCCAACCGCGGGCTACCGGCGATAGTCGTTATGGTTTTTCGAACATTGAGAATCATATTAATCATCTGTAGGAAGGCTCAGCTCCTATGTGCTTGAGGTTAACGCAGAGTTGGTCACCGCATACCTGCAAGAGGACAATAACGTGCTAGAAGGTATCAAGGAGAGCCGTTTTCAACTGCGGGAAGCGCCTAGTGTTGGCAATACACTTCCCTTACCATTTTGAAAGGCTCCTTGGGGAGACGCATGAGCTTCTCGAAACTCTCGTCTGTGGCGAATATGAATGCCAGGAGACGATTAACATACGTGACAGATTCCACATCCTACCGATAACAACAACAATGCGAAGCATCGATCGCAGGTAGTTGACTCACCTCGCCGGGCTTGACTAGACGAAGAGCTGCTTGCTCGGGCAAATCCTTGGTCACATCTCCATACCAATAAACGCACGAGTCGCCACCCTACAGTACAGAAGTATGACTAAAGACTTTGATAAATGACTCACCAGAATAGGGTCCTCAGTGTAGTGGATATTCTTAGCGATTGACAATAAGGAGTCGGTGAGCCTATCATGAGTTTGGAAGAACTCTCTAGCTCTCGGATGGACGTACTGTTCCCACGACCTGATAGCCAACATCGGGTGAGCTACCCAAACTGCCAACCTAGAAGGGCGTACTTAACAAGAGCCTTCAAAGCTTGCTCGTCGCGTGCTTGGAAATTATGCACAGCACGTCTCTCGCTACGGGTCCTTTGCTCTTGGCGCCTGAAATGATGATGATGATGATGATGATGAGCAGGAGGGGCCTGAGACTGATGGGCATCGGCCTACTTGGGCGTCTCGGCCATTCCACGTTTACCAAAGAGTGCCGCACAAGGGTCCTCGCTACACATACGACATTTGAATACCATTGCCGTTGGGGGCGACAAGACTTGATGCTCCTTGAGACACTGTATTGGTCATCCATATTTCCAAACACAACGCATCCCTCGGATAAAAACAGACAGAAGGGAAGTCTCGGTTACGCGACGGTGAACTCCATTCATGAGCGGGAGAGGCCCACGAACGGACGAGTCATTGTTGGGGGTTCTCGTCAGGTGGAAGTTGCGGCTAACATAAAACCGCACAGTAGAGAGCGCCACATTCTTACACCGAGCCCTACCGAGTTGCTGTCGGTCGCATCCCTCTGCGTTTGCGTGTTATGCGCGTTCTCAGCGAACTGCGGCACACTACCAATACTATCCCCTGCCTTCTCCTGTTGGCCGGATGCATCACCACTGTCCTGCTTTCCTATCGCCACTTCACTATGACTGCTATCAGGATCAGCTGCTGCTCGATCGGGTACTGTGTCACTAGCCTCACCCACTGGAGCAGGTGCCGCCGGGCTCATCCCCTGTTGGGCCTGCTGATCCGACATAGCCGAATCGACCTGTACGGGTGGTGGATTTCCGGCTGCTTGCAAAGGTTGAGGGACGGGTACACTGTACTGCCCTTGAGATGGCATCGCGAGCTGAGGAGCTGCTGCTGCTGCTACTGACTGCGGCCCACCCACAGGCGCGCCCTGCATCGGAGGATACGCATACCCCGGCTGCCCAATATAGGGGGAAGCCATCGTGCCCTGTGGAGGAAGGGCATACCCTGGGACAGGCTGTGTGTATGGATTAGGTGCCGCATTCGGAGCTTCCAGGTTCCCATCAAGCGGAGGTTCCTGTTGGGCGGGAGGGCCCTGGGTCGGCGGACCACTGGCGTTGAAATCAAGGAGATCATCCACAGTGGACACTTGTACGGATCCATGGGAGGTGCCCGATGCAGGTGCCCTATAAGGAAGCAGAGATACACACATCCCCTAGCTAGTATGCTGCTACCTTCTACTACGGTGACTGCCGCCATGACGACTTCGTCCAGCCATGGGGGGCGGGGGAAGGAAGCTGCCCAGGTCGGGCCCTTCCGAACCATCACTCGCCCCTGTTGTCGAGGGCCCCTAAATGACAGCATGCGAACGACGATAAGCTCGTGAGCACTACCTGCTGGGCAGTGGCTGGGGATGCTCCAGCCGCGCGCTGATGTGTAGTACTCATTCCCTTCAGTCGAACAGTCACTTTACCCTCACCCTGCCGGGCCTTCTCACGCAGAGGGTTCTGAAGTCGGGCACAATACCGGGAGGGAATTAATGTTGGTACTGACAATCAGATCCTTCTGGCCAGCAGCTCCGGGCGTGGGTACACTACTCGGTCCCATCTGAGACCGCTGGCGATCGAAATCATACAGGCACCTGCAGCGCGCAGTTCAGACCACCTCAACATGCCGGCCCTCACGCGTTGAAGTCAAATGCATCGTTGCGATCCTCAAATCCGACCCCCAGATAAGCGTGATGACCCGAACCATCGCTCAGTCGTAATACAAAGTACCTGACAACAGCCATCGTGGTGAACTTAGAGGCTGTATATATTACCGGCTAGAATCAACCGTCCGTTCCACCACTTTATCAATAGGCGTATTCGGGGCGATCGGACAAGCCGCAAAGAGACCTCCAGTACTCGCATCGACAAACTTTATCACAAGTACTGCACCCTGAACAACGCGCCTACCACTCCTTCCACACTTCTGTGATATCTCACCTTCGCAGCTACCTGCAGTCGGCCACGCCAAATACAGTTGGTCCACTCGCCAGCCTTATGCCCCCGCCCCCTAGTCGATGGGGGCACATTATAGACATAGCATTCCGGCTTATTGAGGAGCACGTATTCTATATTGTCATCAGGGACTGGCTCTTCACTATCCCCTCCAGCCGAAGACTCATTCAACATCTACTATGGTTAACAATTGAAAACTTGTATGGGAGTCCTATAATGCTACCCTACTATTGCTGAATAAGGACGACTATCACTACGAATAACTTCCTCTCGTGAGGTTTTCACTGTTGTTGTCAACGCAAAACACCATGCTATGGACAACCGCATTATTCATGCTAACCCACCCATTGACGTCTACTGAGAGGATGGCGCTTCCAACGCGGGAAACCGTCTCTGCGCTAGCTGCTTCAAGCAGGTCTGAATCTGATGTACCTACCACACCATCGACTACTCCCACCATCTTTACTATGCACTAATGCTATTACCAGTGAATGGTCAAGGCCTAACTCATCAAGGGCGAACTCGTAGGCCCTCATATAAGCCTCCATAGCATCGCCTTCCTTGCGTAGATGCTCGTATCTGCTCCTCATATCCCGGAAGTGGCAGTTGCCCCGAGTACTACTCGCATCCTAGGTTGAAGAAAGCTGTACATATCAATGGCTTGGGACCGGCCGGCATGGCGGCAGAAGCTTCGCCTTCAGAGAGGTCTGACCAAGACGAGCATTTAGTACAACTCGCAATAATCTAGCAAGTCATAAAATCTAACTCCTACAGAGTAATCACGACCATACTTCCCACCTATTGCGACGACATCCCCATCAATAGCGGCCTTACCTGTCATGCCCTCTAGCGGCTGCTTAGAAAGGTAAACCGCTCGTTGCTGCTTTAGTAACATCAAAGCTGCCTTAGCATGGACCTAGCGAGCATAATAAGCATGACCTCCCTAAGGAGTCCTACATTTCAGCTTCTTACCACTGCTTGCTGGTGATCACCCATTTCCGATAACAAGGCGCACATGTTCGTATGGGTCGTCGATGGGTTCTGAAGGGACCACCACCTTAGAACCAACCCCGCATCTCTACACAGGAAATTACAAAGGCAAAAGCTTCTGCCACTGCAGGTGTTGCCGAGAGCTGTTCCCGCGCCTCTATCAAAAGGGCCTTCTTGAGGTACCCGAGGGCCGTATGCAGCTTGCCGAGAGTCTTATAGAAACAGCCGAGGTTGTTGTATGTTACCGCTCGCAAGATCAACCTCGCCCCTCGGGTGATGTGATGCTGCACAGCAAAAAGACTGCTGCAACGACATCCCTAATTTTCCACTCACATTGGCCAGGGCAGTGACGGCCTCAGCCTTATTGAAGACCCCTAGTGCCTCGTCCGTCTCGCCAGCTTGAAGCTACCAACAAAAAGGATGATTGCGACTAGTCAGACCAACCTCATTACCAAATGGAGGGCTACTGTGTTGTACCCTATGCAGAGACGCTCAAACAGCGACGCCAGAAGACACGGGCGCATCCGTTGCACCTGATGGTGGGACTAAGAATTGCTCAGAGACAAGCCAGTGGTCGTACCGTAAGGTGCTCCTCATTAAGAACAGCCTCGAGGACGGCAACAGCTTCAGCGTGCTTCTCCTGTCGCGTCAGTTGCACAAACCTACAACATATGTTCCGGAACTTCTCTACACCACCAGCCTACGTAGACTCAGCGACCGCAAAGGGCCTCAATAGAGTGATCCGTGGGTCCTCAGCTTCCATGCTTTCCATTCTGGACCCATCCGACGAGGGGAAAGCTGAGCCCGGGGGGACTACGCACTCCATTACAGGATATTCACTACAGTAGGGCGATGACCCAGCCATGTGCACCCAACACACCAAAAGCATGACAACAACGTGATTACAACAGTGGACGATGGGACATGGACTAAGTCCTACTCAAAACCTGTGAGATTGTCATGATGGAAATGCCAATGATGAACTCCCCAGGAGACCAATACGCTGTAACGAACAGTTCACCAGCATCAGCACTATACCACGGTACCATTGGGCGCTGTGTAATCGCTGATATATAACATGAAGGCCACCGCTCTACGTAGATAGCAACACGCTGATGCGCCCTTAGGCACGGGATGAACTGCTAATGCGACCGCTCCATCGATGAATCCTGGACAGTGCGGTGAGCATGCCCCCTAGAAAAATGAGGAGATAAAGAGCAGGGAAACTTTGACGAGCTGTAGCTGATGGTAGGCGGTCTCTGCATGTGCCGCCTCTATGGCAGATATATTACGATTGGGCGACATCTCTGAGAAGCCTAGCCCTGGTCGGAACTCGTTCCGGAAAGGAGCCTCGGGATCGATACCCACCCCCTCTGTAACGGTATCAGTATGATCGAAGACCCCATCACTGAGCTCCTGCTGTGCCATAGCCGCTGGAACTACGCCGTGAGAATCTCCTTCGATAACCAAACCTTCAGAGGACCTTTCAGGCGTCGAGGCAACAGCTAGAGTTCTCTTCGTTCGTCTGTGGCGAATCGCCACTGGCGATTCCACGCATGGCATTTTCGGCTACTCGTTCCAGAGCCGGCATCGGGCTAGGTACGAGGACCAGCATCTCATGACTGTAACCATGCATAGCAGAGTAGCTAGCAAATACAGTAGACTTCCCATCAAAAAGGCATGGTCCTCACTAGAGCTAGCAGAGTAGGGAATGTTTCAGAATGATAGTCCATCCGCTATTGGTCTCACAGATCTACTATTCACACAGCCTAGGACCTCGGACGTAGATGAGAGGGATACCGCCATGAACATGTGATTGTGGAGATCAATAGGCATAGATATAAAACCAACACCCGTCGTAGCTACCCCTGAGAGCAACCCTGGTGGTACTCAGTCTCATAACTCATCAGCAACTAAGGTTAAATCGATACCCAGAGAGAATAAGAGCGACTGCCACTTCAAATCAACAATGCAGGAATCGTCAGCGCAAAACAGATAGCGCGCGCCAAGAAATTGTCCGACCATCTTGGTCCTATTGATACTCATGTCCGACCATCTTGGTCCTATTGATACTCATGTCCGACCATCTTGGTCCTATTGATACTCATGTCCGACCATCTTGGTCCTATTGATACTCATATCCGACCATCTTGGTCCTATTGATACTCATATCCGACCATCTTGGTCCTATTGATACTCATGTCCGACCACCCTGGTCCTATTGATAATCATGTCCGACCATCTTGGTCCTACTGATACTCATGTCCGACCACCCTGGTCCTATTGATACTCATGTCCGACCATCTTGGTCCTATTGATACTCATGTCCGACCATCTTGGTCCTATTGATACTCATATCCGACCATCTTGGTCCTATTGATACTCATATCCGACCATCTTGGTCCTATTGATACTCATGTCCGACCACCCTGGTCCTATTGATAATCATGTCCGACCATCTTGGTCCTACTGATACTCATGTCCGACCACCCTGGTCCTATTGATACTCATGTCCGACCATCTTGGTCCTATTGATACTCGTGTCCGACCATCTTGGTACTATTGATACTCATGTCCGACCATCTTGGTCCTATTGATACTCATGTCCGACCATCTTGGTCCTATTGATAATCATGTCCGACCATCTTGGTCCTATTGATAATCATGTCCGACCATCTTGGTCCTATTGATACTCATGTCCGACCATCTTGGTCCTATTGATAATCATGTCCGACCATCTTGATCCTATTGATACTCATGTCCGACCATCCTGGTCCTATTGATAATCACGTCCGACCATCTTGGTCCTCTTGATACTCATGTTCGACCATCTTGGTCCTATTGATACTCATGTCCGACCATCTTGGTATCATTGGTCCTCATCTTCAGGATGAGCACCAACGGTGGCCGCGAAATGTGGAATGAACGGCAAAAACATCGAAACTGGTCACATCTATCTACAAGATTTGTGGAGTGAACATCCGCGTACAATATCTGAGCTCATATGTTCGATCATGGTCCAACCTGGCCTCTAAAGTGCCATATCATTATAAACCCCAAAAATACAACTAGACGGCGAATACAGAACTGCCTACGACCAAATGGACGGTCAGAGTCAGTCCCTGTCAGACTAATCTCCAACTAAGCGTTCGGAGAGAGCGTTCGAGCAGCTCGAACATTGAAGTTCTTCTTTGTCTTCTCTTGGTGCTATTGGGTTCCATCGCGCGGAACCGCCTTGCTACCGATCAACCAGTATGAAAGCATCCGTAAGAGCAATTGTCTCAGCAGGTCGGGAATGACGCATGAGTGAGACTAGACCCAACTCTCGCCACACAGAGCGGTCCCCTGTATCTATAACGCAATGTTACATTGGTTGACAAAGTAACTGCTCCCCAGTATACAGCTGAAGCTGTGCGACTCGTATGGTATGAGAATTTCGAACTGTTTTAGATTCGATACCGAGATTGGGTAACAGAAATGATCAGGAGTGGTATGCCGATCCCAGCTACAAAAAGTGTAATGTTCATGTACGAAACAAGACTAAGGATGTTGCCATGATAGCTGTCCCTAGAAGGAAGCCACCACCGGCCCATCGGTTGGTCGGATCGAAGTAAGAGGCGGAGAATTGGAGTTTGATTATAGCGATGTATGCCTGGAGGGGATCTCACTTCGATACGCCATTGTGTAACTCACCATTATCCCGGCTGTGAGGGCGAACATTACAGCGATAGTTACATCATTAATCATCTCACCAAGGATCAACCATGCCAGGATGCCTAATAATACCATACCAGAGGCTCCTCTATCGTTGATACCCACCTCCCAGGGGCTCGGCGAGGGCCGAGATAAGCGTCCAGAATAAGGCCTGCTTCTTGCTACCAGTGGCCTTCAACACCGGAGAGGCCACAGCAATACCTGGAGACGCTCGAGGATGGCCAGGACGACGTATGGGCAACTTGCCTTCTGGTATGTTATGGATGGCGATCGCGATGGCCAGAGAGGCTCCCACAGACGGGTCCTCGAGTGTGGCGAGGAAAGTGACTATTCCTTCAGGGAAGTTATGTAGAGCCACAGCACCAGCCGTGAACAGAGCTGTGGCTAGCAGCCTCGACCGAGAGTGTATCTCAGGAGCTTCCCTTGGCGAGTCGACAGGCCTCGTAGAGGCTGATGCAGTGGATGTGGTCGGAGTCCAGACTCCCTAACAAGACAATCACCTTTGTATATACAGGCAGCAATCGCACGCCTGGAGCGGTAGGCTATTGGCCCCCACACACATCCAGCGGACTCCCCACCAACATTTCACCATGATGGAAATATCTCCACTATGGAAGTTATTCCCATCATGGAAAGATGCTCATATCC